TCGTGAACGTCATCCTGCAGGCGTCCAACTCCTTCTCGGTGGACCCGTACGAGAACATGACGGCCACGTTGGACGGCCCATTCATTGATTACGCTGTCGCCGGCAGCGGCAAGGTGTGGGTGAGTGTCGTGGCCCACACGGGCGATGTCACTGCCGCAGAGGTGAAGGCAGGCACCCTCGCCATCGGGGGCACATGCGGCAGCGCAGGCCTGGATGCCACCGCGTCCCCGCCGTCACTCACAGGCTGTGGCTTTGTGGCCGGGCAGACGTACACGGCCCACTTCTACGTCGAGGACGACGGCGCGAGGGATGATGGCACGCTCTACAGCGTTCCCATTAAAGTTCCGCTCTCAACTGCATCCAACTTGTTCGCGGCGAGCCCCAGGCTTGACTCGGCCCTTTCTGGGAACGGCTTCAACCTGACTTTCCAGCCCACCGTGATGGGCGTGGCATACGCGCTGGTCGTGAGCGAGGGGACGCCGGTGTCTGCGAGCACAGTGATGAGCGGCATCGGCGCCCTGGGAGACGCCGCCTGTGGCCAGCCAGGTACTGTTCTCTCCGTGACCAACGAGACAACAAACGTGTTGACTTTTAGCGACTGTGGATTCGCCGGCGGGGTTACTTACCTCGCCTATGTGTACGTGGCCACGGAGTCGAATAGCTCCGATGGTGTGCTGTCCAACGCAGTGCCACTGGCTGTGCCAGTGTCTAACGACTTTACCCCAGAGGGCCCGAAAGTGGAGGCAATCGACGGCAGCAAGGTCGGCGTCCTTTTCACCGCCACGGTTGCAGGCAGAGCCTGGCTCGCTGTGTGGCCGAGCTCCGTGGCACTCACTCTGGCAATGGGTAGCGATACCACTGGCTCGGAGTGTAATGTCACAGCCGCAGCCATCACAGCTGGGGAGTCCAACTTCACGGTCTCTGGCTGCCGACTTCTGGGAGGTGCCACATACTCGATCGCCGTCTACGTGGATGACGGCTTGGGCAATGGCGATGGAAACCTGACCGTGGTCAGCAATGTCCTCGTGCCGGTGACCAATGCGATTTCGATGCAGCCGGAATTGTCTGCATCTGTGCTATCGTCGGAGATACGTGTGACACTATCGACGCTCACCGAAGGCACAGGCTGGGCCAAGGTGGTGAAGGGCTCGGCCCCTCCGTTCACGGACGTCGTGAGCCTATTGGATGCTGGAGACAACGTGGCCTGCGACACAGGCACGTTGGCGCTGTCCAACGGCTCGCAATTGCTGTCGATTTCTGGGTGCGCGCTCTCGCACGACACTGACTACACCGTCTACGCCTACGTCGCAGGGCCTGCGGGATACACAGATGGCACCCTGTCCAGCGGACTGCTGGCTGTTGTGGTCCCGGGCCGGTCCAACATGTTCACGGTGGTGCCTGAGATCACTGGCCCTGTCACTGCGGACAATGTGACCCTGACGTTCAGTGCCGCTCTGGTCGGCAGAGTGTGGGCAATGGCAGTGCCCTCCTCCCAGGTGCAGGGGGTCGGGGTTGCGGAGATCTTGGCGGGCAGTGCCGCCGCGTGCTCCGTCCAGGAGGACGCGGCCGCTGGTGGGGAGAACACGGTCGCTGGGAGTCAAGGGGGCACCGCTTCAGAAAACGGGGCACTCGCTGGAGCCACAACCCGCGGGAGCGCCAGGATGGATCGCGCCTCGCGGTCTTGGGGCGGCGCCGGGGCGCGAAGATATAGCCGTGCCTCGCGAGGCGCGGAGCCTCGGAGTGAAGCGACCCAGGTCGGGCACCACAGCCCGTCGCGGCGGTGCGTGCGCGCCCCCATCCAGGGCTCTTGGAGAGTCCTGCAGTGCTGCAGCACTGCTGGCTTGTGACGCCCCGCCCCCCTACCGCCGCTTGTTTGGAGTCGCGACGTTTCTTTCGCGGCGTTCGGCCTCTGTGGGCCCTGGCCCTGGGACCGTCACGCAACAGTTCGGGATGAAAATCTGGTCACGAGGCAAGGGTCCAGACCTTCAGCTAGGCGACAAAATCACGACGTCGAAGGCCTGGGCCTGGTCTCAGATCTCCGAGGATGCCCGCACGCCTGAGCGCGGGGGCGATGTATCTCAGGCAGCAGAGCACGATGACTGGGCGTCCAGGAGGGCACGTTCAGAACAACGGACATCTGTTCAGGGTAATACTTTCGATGCAATTGCACGTCTCGGTGTTTCGGCCTCTGCGGTGCAGGTAGGAGGGTTAATAGTCGTCGTTGCTGAGCAGGAGTACAGTCGGCCCGGATTAGTAGGTCGACCCTGCCAGCTCAAGGGTACCCTTGTGTCCTGTGCCTCGCGACACGTGCCTTCTTACACTCTGGAGTGGTAGTAATTGTAATAGCGGTAGTAGCCTGTAGTTGTAATGGTAATATATTTGGAGTGGTAGTAATTGTAGTAGCGGTAGGGGTTGCAGCAGTGCCAGTAGCAGTTGCAGTGATGGTGGTGATAGCAATTCCATCGCAATCAGGATTCGGCACGCCTCTTTCCCAAACCCCTTAGCAGGATAGAGTTCATCGCGGGGTGGATTCCCGCTGTGGCTTCACTGTTTGCCTGCCTGCGGGCCAAAGGACCACCCAAGGAGCAACGGTGTAGAGTGGGAGCCGGGGCCAGGAACATGAACATGATGCTATCTATGTTCGCAACATCCACCCCGCGCAATATATTGGACATCATTCGAGATAGGCAATTTATCGTGAAGAGTTGAACCAACTATGTTTCGAACAAGCTACTCGCCGCCGCTGCTGTCGTCGCTGTCGTCGCCGCTGTCGTCGTCGTCGTAGTCGTCGTCGTCGTCGCCACTGCGAACCTCGATCCTCGCCGCCGCCGCCGTCGCCGTCGTTGCCGCCGCCGCCGCTGCGGCGTCCGCTTCGGGCGATGTCCATGCCGTCCTTCCCCGAAAAAAAGGCTCCGACGACCAAAAACCTCCAATCTCGATCCTCGCCGCAGTCGCCTTCGTCGCTGTCGCCGTTGCCGTCGTCGCCACCGCTGCGGCTCACTTCGAGCGATGCTCGGGGTTCTGAGTCCCAGAGGCCCCAGAGGTCCTGGAGTTCCCAACCCCGCCGCGGATGCTCCCTGGGGCCCCTAGGGGCACCAAAGAGGCCAGAAACGCCCAATCACCAACGGTGGGGGTGTTCGTCAAGGAATGTGTTCATGAGGCTTCAGACCCTGGAGGGGTCCTTGATGACGGTGGCGGTGATATCCATGGCCCTTCCGCGACTGGAGTTCCACAGGCTTCTAGACCCTGGATTGTTTTTATCCAAGCGTTTCTTACCCAATGCCCTCACATCGCCGAACACGCCTCAAACCCACCCATCCCGATCCTCGAGAGTCGTGGACCTTAGTATCGGTGATCGATGTTGGGTCCATATTCTTACCAAGGGGAGCAGTGCATGGATAAAAAGCTTGGCTCTGGAGGCCGGCTTTCACCCACTGCTTCAGTCTGGTCCATCTTGAGGCTGGGGGCCTGATCTGGCATGGATAAATCGCTGACCGCCTAGAACAGACAGCAAGGGTATACCCTCGGTTGCAACTGCTGGGAGGTCAAATTCAGCATCGGCGCTGGCAAATCCACCGGTCGAGAACCATTTTACCCGACCTTGACACGCGCAGCCCAGCTTCATCCCGACAATTCCAGCTTAATCCTGGGCTTACTCTGACTTGATCTGGCTCATTGACTCTTCATCTGGCCCAGTAGCCCTCACTGGTTCGCACGAAGATCTCCCAGGAGTTACCTCCTCATATATCCCTCCCGTGATGGCGCAGCTCGACGTTGGACTTGTCGCGCTTCTGTCCCTTCTGTCGCTGGCGCCTCTGTGGAGCTGCTCGGACACCCGCCTGGAGCATTGACGTGGGGTTTCAGTGATTGAGTCGCGATGTTGTTTTCTTAATCCCCCCCTTGATCGGCCGCGCCGCGGCGTCCGCTTTGGTGGTGGGGCCGAGGTCGTCCTCGCGGGGTGCGGCTTCCGGGCGGACCTTTCGTACGCGGCCGCCTCGGAGCGCGCGCTTGCGCCCGCCCAGAGGGGGCTCCTGGGTCGCCTCGGTCGCGGATCGACCCAGCAGTGCGCGACGAGCGTAGGGGGAGGCATGGAGGGAGGGAGGGAGGGGAAGGGAAGGGAAGGAAGGGACGAGACGGAGGAAAGGGAGTGATGGAGGAAGGGGGGAAGGGATGGGAGGGGAGGATGGAAAGAGAGTGGCCCCTGGATCGCTTGTCGTGGACCGCCGCAGCAGTGCGCGCCGAGTGAGGGGAGAGGTATAACCCAGACCATGCGCGGGTCGTGTTTTTCAATCCCAGCGTTGTCTTGGGGGGTGGTAGTTTCGGCCTGCCAGGGCCGTTCTCGGACCCCAGGCCCATCAATATGGATCGAAGCACTACCCCTGGGGACGGGGGTCGAGACTCTGGGGTCCGTGCATCGAGCAAGTGGATCCCACGGATGTCTGGGGAGGGAGGTCCCAGGCCTTTCAGATGGGGTCGGAGTAGATGGGGTCGGAGGATCGCGCCGCATGGCCGATGCATCGGCGATGCGGCTCGGTGGAGCTTGATGTTCGCCTTGCCGACGTCGCCTGTGCATTGCTGATGCATCGCCGATGCATCGGCAATGCATCGGCGATGTGGCGCGATCCTTCGACACCATCTACTCGGACCCCCTCCAGGAGGCCTCTATATCTGAGGTTCTAGATCCCTTATGCTCTGCTTTTCCAATCCGGGCGTTCTCCCTGGAGTTCGGCCTCTTGGGCCCGTGATTGGGCCCCGGGGCCATACCACATGGATCCGGAACGCAAAGTTACCCCCCGCGAGTGAGACCCCATTTGCTCAAACCCGATCTATAGGAGACCTCCAGAAAGGGGGGGGGAAGCGACGGACGATGAGGACGGGGAGAAGAACATAGAACATAGAACAACTCATGGAGTCCTGACTGTGCAATCTGCCTCACTGCATCACATCGAGAAAACTCGCTTTGCAACTCAGCTCGCACTGGGGCTCTGAGGCAGGTCTGTACGGACCCCACTTTCACTTTTTAAGGCGAGACGTTCGCTCACCCCAGCAGAGGCACTGGCCACGTCTGACACTCCTGCGGGCACGCATCCCGCGATAGGAGGCCAGCCCACAGGCTCAGGGAGCTCCTCTCCTTCCCCCCCGCCCCCACTCCGACCGACCGCCCCCCCCCTCTAGCCTGCGGCTTACTACGAGCAAGCACAACTGACAGAATAGGCGGCAGCCTAGGGTCACGGTGCGATGATGTACTCCGTACAGCACGATCCAAGACATTTGGAGAAACCGCACCCCGCTCAATCAGCTGCTGCACCCGCGCACTGGTACTCAAGTTTCGCCTGCCCTGTTCGCCCAGGCCATAAGCTCTCTCTTGACGGACCCTCTCGGAGCCGACCCCATCCCGAATTCGCCGCCCTCTGCCTCTATCGCCCTCTCGAGAATCTTCGCGGCCTCCACTCCCAGAGGCTTGTTGACATCCGTCCTCAGTATGATGATGCAACGCTTCTCCTTCTTCAAGGGATTGCATCTGAAGTATGGAACTGCTCGCCCGACCGTCTTCAGTGTCATGTCCTCGATCATGTACTGCTGCCACCAATCCTTCGCCTCTTGGAGAAGCTGCTCCTCGTCGCCCTGCGTAGACCCGCTGTAGGTGTTTTCGATGCGCATTATTTCATCGCCGCCACGAAGATGTGTATGTGTGGTGGACCTCTCCCCTTGTAGTCCTGCTACTCCCCGATGTCCTTGGACTGGTCGTCGTCTCCCTTGCCCGCTACGATCAGCTGTGCGGGGGGGCTTCGACCGAGGGCGACGTCTCACCCGAGGAACACCGAGCTGGCCACGTCCGAGAGCTTTCGGGTTGCGGTGAGCAGCAGGCGCACGACCATCTCCACAATGCGCGTCACGTCCTTGCCGCCCTTGCCCCCGCCCTTGCTGCCCGTCTTGGCCGACTTGGGGGCGCCTGCTCCTCCCCCGCTCGGCTGTCCGCCCTCGTTGGGGACGTCGCGCTTCTTGAACCAGGCTGGCATCGTCAGCTCCGCCATCAGGAACAACTCTCTGTTGTGTGAGTTCAGCAGTGAATGGAGGCATCTCCTACGGAAGATGCTCAGAAGCCAAATTGTTACATTGGTCAGGTAGATCAGCCGCTTCATATGTGCACAACGAACGCTTTAGACTCCGAGGCTGCTGTAATTCCCCAAGTGCCCAAGGCCCCGTAGTACAACTTCCCCTCCTAATGGAGCCCAAGAGGTGCCGAGAAGCGGTGATCCTGGTTGCAAATGTCTGCCCCGAGTGCACACATATACTTGTTGGTGCGATACCATTTGCGAGACTACGTACATTGTGATGCGCCTTGCAGTGATTCATGAGTGCCTTTCGCGTGTAGAAAGAAGCCCCACATGTGCCCGTAGCCGTGCTCGCCATACACCTAAACCGTGGATCCTCTTCAAGAGCTTCAGGAGGCCCCGCGAGCCCATTTGCTGCCGGGTGAAAGCCTGGTGGGGGGACTTGGACCCGAGACCTAGCAGCTCTGGGAACTCCCATATATAGCATGCAAAACTCCTCCATCTCCTCCTTCTTACTGAACATATTCAAGTCCCCGAGCAGAACATCGATCGCCTCGCTATCGACGACGCCCGCAGCGAACTCGAGGTCGCGCGTTAGCTGACACAGCCAGGGGGAAGCCGCCTCCGAGGGAAAACCATCGACCAACTGTGGAGGAAGCCCTGCTGCTGCCTCGCCCTCAAGGTCCTCGAACATGGCACACAACGGCTGGATATGTTGATCGGGCCTCTCTCCCCAACTCTGATACCATTTCAAGCGGCGCATCCCCAATTCACTTTCACTGTCAAGAATACCCCAATACAGCAGGACCTGGGAGTGAGAGAGAGAGAGAGAAGTCGTCTCGTTTTCAATTCGCATCGTCGCACGACCAAGCGTCGCAATACGAGCCACAGAAGACGTGCAACCGTCCAGCCGTCGGCAACCAGCCTTGCTGAGGACAAACGCCTCGAGGCCTGCAAGTAGAGCACTCTGCACATTGCCCACGAGCAAGCACTTGCGCAATCCAAAAGGGGGTGGGCAGCGAGCAGATGCCGCCGACACGCTAACATGCAGTCCTCGCTGCGGAGCACCTCATAGTGACCTCCTGGCGGCTAGAATCTCGAACTCGAATGCGGGGCCCCAGGTGCCTCGCGCTGTCCTTGATTTTGCCCTGGACCCCCCTCAACACCTATTCGAATTTCTTGCCGAGCTCGATTCCCCTGGGAGGCGAAATCCGTCAAGCACTCCTGCTGACCCAGGTTCTGGACGTGCCCGAAAGGCAGCATCGCGGAGTCGAAAACCTCGCCCACCTCCTTAACCTTCCCAAAGAGGCCCCCCAGGGTCATGTGATCCGAGGCCGCGACAGTTCTGTTTACATCAACAGCGTGCTTCAACAGGCTCAGGTCACTCTGGCAATCAAGCCACCTCGAGACCAAACAAGCGAGACATCGGGCCCACGCGGCTCCACTGGTAAGCCCGCTCAAAGTAGCCCGAGAGAACGCGCCTAGAAACGTGGCCGCGGCGAAGGGCCCGCCCATGACACCGCCCTGAAACGGCTTGACAAGGAGTGGCCCTTGTTCCGCAGTTAACGCAACCCTGCTCTTCTCGTAGCGCTGCAAGTACAAGTTACGGTTCGCCTCCGGGGCGGCCCGGGCGACCGTGACCTCTAATTCAGACCGTCAAAATTCCCAAACGCGTCGCGCGCGACATAGACGCCAGCAGTTCACCTGAGCAATGCAAATGGTGGCCTCTCGCCTCCGTTGCGCGATGAAGCCGCGACCTTGTTGAGAGGGCACTACGTTCAACATCTTAGAGCAGAACGCTTTTCCCAGAACAGACACCACATGGACAACTCGTTGTCCTCTGGGCCCGTGCTGTGCGCTTTTTGGGGGGGGGGCCGCGCCCTTGCCCCGATGCCAGTATAGCGGGGTCTTCTGGAAGTGCCTGACCTTTGCGAGACTCACCGAGATGGTCCACCAGAACCCAGGAACCCTAAGCATAGACGCGCCATGGCCCACTGCCCCAGTCTGCTGAGAAGCCCTCCAGCCAGGATCGAGTAGCTGATGCCATAGTTCAAGTGGTGCACTACCTTCTGGAACTTCTCTACGTTTAGGCGCCGTCTTGATATGCGACCTAATCCGCAGCAGATCTTTTTTTCAGCAAGCTCCTGCTCCTTCTCCGTCGCCCCCCAACCGTAGACCCCCCCCCCTCTCTCTGCCCGCCAAGCCCCCCAGTCAGCCTCCTCCGCCACCATGCCTCCATCGCCCCCGGGAGCTTGCCAGCTTGCCAGACCTGGAGCCGCTCCGCCCGGCTAGGATGGGGGCCCCTGTACCAGGCGCCCGCCTCTGTTCTTCGGGCTCATTCTGCAACGAGCCGCGCGCTTGGATAGAGAAAGCGTCGCCGGGGTAAACCTCTGACGCCGCGGCCCAGAGGCTTCCCCCATCAACTGAGAGCGAAGAGCCCGTGCAGCACGACGCCGCTTGGCAGCGAGATTGGAAGAAAAATGCGCAACTCGGCGCCCACCTCCCCCGCAGCTGCCGCATCCAGATCCATTTTGGATCCGCGAAGACTAACTCGCTCAGCCAGAAGGCGCCGCCGACGCTCGGTGCCCCCTGATAAATGTGACATGCGCGGCTGGAGTCCGAGAAAACATGTTACCCAGCAGCAGTTAGAGCATCCTCAAGTCGCTCAAACAACTCATCGGGGGACGCCTGATCCCTCGAGCGCGCAAAATGTAGTTTGTCGATCTCCTCCTTGGCCGCCGTCAAGTTCCCAGCGCGACGTGCGCCTTTCCGCAGCGAGGCCATCATCAAGTCACGATTCTAGCGGGCACCCTGAACTGATGGACCCCCCAGCAAACCAGCCTTATCATACGTCATCGCGCACGTCGCGGGCAGATGGCCTCGAGGCGCTTGTCTTCGAGTCGCTTGGAGTTTGGACCCCAGTCCACGTA